GCCTCATGCAGGCTGTGTCCTGGCTGTGGCAGGGGCCAGGCATCTGCAAACGACAGATTTTAAGCCATCCGTTTAGTGCCCACTAGCATGGACCCGAGTGAGACTCTGGACAGCAGATCTCTGTCTACGACAGAGGCGGCGGAGGGAAGGAACAGACATCCTAGACGTTCCTCCAGTCCCCGGTCGGGCTCTGGGCCACGTGCAGCTCATGTGGATGGCCACACCCTCGGAGCCCCCAGGAGGAAGGAGAAAGCACAGAAAGAGGCAAGGACATGGCAGGCCGGGCCCCACATCGCTTCCACCTGAAGACCCCTGCTGCCTCAGGGCCGGCAGGATCTGCTGCTCCAGGCCACACATTCTTCACATGTTGTTCGGAACACTCCTTCACATGTCTCCTAAAAACTCACGAAAGCAAGAAGACAGCTCACCCTACAGCTACGTCCTACCTCCGTGCACACGGAAGGACCAAGAACTACCACAGGAAGCTCCACGTCACCGTCCGACCCGGCGGGTCAATGGACACAGAGCGTGGAAGGTTTCGGTGGCTCTTTTAAGAGCATCCACTTCATCGTTGCTTTCGATGGAGAACAGATTGAGCTAATCCTCAACTTTTCCCTTGTGTCTGTCTGCTGAAGTTATTCCGCCGGCCAAGAGAATAAAAAGCGCATGGGAGCGTGACGCGGCCTTGCCACTCCCAGGTCTCAGGCGCTCCCCGCTGCACGGCGCTCATCAGCCGGCAGCAGCAATCGCTCTCGTCGGATGGCAGCGTGCCCGCGCACATCCACAACGAGGGCGTTTGGCCCTCAGGGTCAAATTCTAAACTAACTCAATCAAGAGAAGAGAGACGTCACGTCACTTAAGGAAAGACAAGGTGTTTCAGTGACAGACAACACGGTTGTGAGTGGCGTGATGGAGCGACACATGTGACTAAGGCAGTGTCCATCAGAAGGACGTGGGTCAACAGAGAAAACACCAAGGGGAGGGAAGAAGCCCGTGGCAGGGCCCACAGGGCATCTGCAAGGCCCACGCCGCTCCAGATCGCGCAGCCTCCGAGGGACGCGGTGCACCGAGCGCCCCGCGCACCCGGCAGGCGATGGTTCCTTGGACCGCGAGCGCTGCGCTGCCTCCGGGGTTAGCCTGGCACCGAGAGATCCCTGTGACTCCCTCTGTAAGGCACATCCTTAGCCCCCTCACGGAGGCAGGCCTTTTGTGACATGCTCACGGGGAGACCGTTTCCCACTCAGGGCCCAAGACAGACACGCACCATGGCTGCCTGCATCATTTGCGGGCCTGGTACAAAATGAAAACCTAGGGGCCCTCATTCAAGCCTTTTCCTTCCTTCCGCGGTCTCTGTTAGGGGCTGTGTCCCCCCAAATTCAGACGCTGAGGCTCTGACCCCAGACTTTGCAGTGGCCTATACTCAGTGAACGCGCTCCATGTACTAGAGGAAGAGACCCGAAAGTCTGGGAGGACAGGGATGTGGGAGCGCGTTTTGTTTTAAGTGTGTGGCCTGCTCGGCCCCCATAAACACACCAGAGGGGAGCCCGGCAGCCTCCACAGTCTCAGTGGCCACGCCCCCTGGGCGCCACGCAGTGCGCGGTGCCACCATTCATGTCAGCAACTTGGCTTCACTGGGACCGATGGGACTCTGGAGTGCCAGGTCCTAGAACTAACTGGAAAAGTAAAAGTGCTCCTAATTCCTGGCACGGTCAGGGCACTGACCAGAGGCCCTTGGTGGCAGCCCACTGCACCGGGCCCGGGCCTGAGACAGGTGGGCAGCCGTGAGCAGCGTCCTGAACGGTACAACAGTGCAGTACACTCTCCTCCTGGCCTGGTGGACAACGCCCTCATGGCGGCCGGTCACTGCCACTGAGAACCGCGTCCCTCCCACTCCAGGGCAGAGCAGGTTCAGACCCGGAACCTCCTGTGCAAAGGGAGAGCTGTGTCCCCTTGGGGAAGGGCCTGCAGTGTTGCCACAAACACACAATCTTCCTTTGATCCTTCCGCTGAAGGAGCTTGATCATCTGCCAGGGTTTCTGTGAGTCAGGGAGAGGAGAACCCCCGGACTCTTTAAGAATCTCTGGAAAGTGTCTCTAAATTGGCTCAAAATGCCAGAGAAGCAGCTTCTGGCGGCCTCTCCTCTTCAGCCCTACAGGAAGGATGTCAGACTGGTCACACTACCTGTGCCCGCGAGCTGACCATCACCTGACCCATGGCGCCATCGGGCCGGGTAATGCTGTGCCCCTCGCCACACTGAGGTGACGCATACACACAAGATGGAGCTTCCGCATGTCCCGAAGGCACAGACTGCGTGAGCAAACGGCCCAGACTCTCAGGGCGCCCACAGCGCTGCGCCGACGGCTCCCGGCATCACGCACCTATGGCCTCAGTATGTTCCTGTGACCGCTCACCTTAAGTAAAAGGATCTGATTTCTGCAAAAAGTGCTGACGCCACTTAAAGGCGACAGTTGGTAGCACGACACCCACCAAGAGCAGTGGGTAGAACCCCGCCCGCTCAGCACACGCGGCGTTCAGCCTGGAAGGAGCGACGGCCGTGGCACGGACCCGCACCAAGCGGGCAGTCAGCCTAGCTAGACAAGCAGCATCTTGGAAGGAGCAGATCGGAAATTGGTGACGAGCGCTCTCTGGAATGTGGGCGGGGACCGAGGACAAGGTGCGTGAGTGGGTCTCCAGAAATGGTGGCGTGAAAGGACGCCTGTGTCCCCTGGAGGGCACGCCATCCGCACGCTCCCAACGACCTCTCCCGCCTTAGCCTTTACGCCAGCCGCCCCATCCGCGTTTACTGGTCTCGTAAACAGAGTGGCCATGGAGACAGGGAAGTCACAGATGGTCTCAACCACATGGGCTTCCTCCCTCCAAGGCTGGTCTGGCCACCGCGCACCGCTGGACGTCAAACCTGCTAACAGGAGAGACCAACACCATCCCTCATGTGAAAAACTCATCCAGAAGTAACAGCCAGCCTGATCACGTGGGCCTCCCGCCCTGGAAGGGGCAGCGACGTCCTGGCACTGCCGACAGGCTCACAGACGGCACACGCACCGGGGCTGCTCACGGCACTGCTGCCCAGAGCTCCGTCTCGTGGCAGAGCAGGACGAGGCCCGCGGACTGTGCTGGCCTCAAGAGTACGAGCAGGAGCGCGTGGACAGCCCTGAGACCAGCGCGGCGGTGCAGAGGCTGACGCACCTGTGCTGGGCGTCCATGCGGGGTGGGGTGGCTGCCCCTGGCCGCAAAGGTCCAGGAGGCACATGGAGTGGGACGGCCCCTCACGTGACCCCTGGGCCGCCGGCCACCTTCTGGGTTCTCACCGCGCGGCTCTGGGCTCTGTTTGGACACCTTCATTCCTAAAGCAGGAACGTTTCCACAAAGCGACACGAGGAGCATCCCACCACCACCGAGGCCAAGGCCGCCACCTGCCCGCACTGGATGCCTCACGCCAATGAGCCACGGGCACAGAAGCATCCACTGCTGACATCCCGGCAACTACTCCCGACTGTCTCAGGAAACAGGGCTGCCCGGCAGAAGGGGTGGGGGGCATGTCTGGGATTTAGGGGACTCTCTGGGGAACTTCTTAGTATTCCCTAGTCCAGCAACGGCTCTAGGAATGGGATCCTAGAGTCACCCAAAACTGGAGAGACGTCTAACGGGAAAGACTCTCAGGAATGGGGTTGGGTCAGCATAGTGCACGGAGCACCACAGCCGCCAGGGCAGACCAGGGCGGGCCACAGAGAGGGTTTCTGCACACGGACCTCTGCCAGGCCACCAGGTGCAAGCACAAGGCACACGGTGGCTCTGTGTGTCCTGGTCATTGCTTTGGGAAGGACATACTCGCACCTGTCAGTCAGTTCTCTTGTCGCCCTTCCCATTCCAGCACCAGTGTCGGGGAGCAGGGTACCCCGTAAGTCAGCATCTAATTTCCAGGGTGTCAGAGGGGCTGTGGCCGTGCCATAAAAGAGCCTCTCCCAGAGGGGGAAAACCGATGTATGGGGCTATGTCTCCAGTTTCGGGAAGAGGACGAACAATCCTTAGTTGTATAAGAGAAAGTTGTCTCGCATTAGCCAAAAGCAGTTTTTACTTTAACCGGAGGTTTAGTTCTGAAGGCGCGAGGGGTGAGTTGACAGAGGGTGACAGACGTGCTCAGCTGTCTGCCGTCTCAGGGCAACCCCCAGGGTCTCGACAGCCAGAACACGTCACTGCAGGTCCACAGATGGCCGGGGCGCCACCTGCCAAGGTGGGGAAGGTGGAGGAGGCGGCCCACTGAGGGGTGTGGACACATGCACAGGCAGACCGGGGATCAGGACAGCCGCCCAGGGGTCCTGGAGAACCCCGAGACTCCCTGGAGACTTGGAGCGGCTCTGCAGGGAATCCCAGAGTCGGTGGCTGTGCCCCTTCCTGCCCAGCCTACCACTGGTGGCTTCCCGGACCCTCTTTCCTCTAACTCCCCCAGCTCCTGTACTTAACCCCCGACATCTAGAAACAGAGGGGCTCCGAGTTCCCTGCCGACGCCGACTAGAGACCTGCGGCCAGCACCCGCCACCTGCCACGTCACCTCCCAGGAGCTGCCGTCCTCAGTGCTGACCCAGGAGGCTCGAGCTGCATCAACCTCGTCCTGCGCTCCACATGCACCGTGACCTGCCCACGCCAGTCACCTCAGCCCACGCTCCCTGCCCCGGCGGCTGGTGCAGGGTGGGCATCGGCCCAGGCCTGACCCGTGAGTGCAAGGCAGGGTAACGGGTCAAGAGCGCCTCTCCCTTCCCCTGGACGGTGTGTTACGGGGAGACCAAGCCAGAAACGCTGCAGCCGCCTGGCACCACACCAGCACCTCAGGAGGAGCAAATCAGAGCACTGCAGAGAAACGGAACTTGAACCCTGATCAAACAGACCCTGAAATCCACCCTATCTTTGAATTTTCAATTTATACACTGTTAAAATCTATTTAAGCTGGGTTTCTGTTATAACCAAAAGCATCCTGACTTATAGGTGTTTTCATAAGACTACTTTACTTGTGGATTTCTTGGCTAAGTGTACTAACATTTGTTTCTTCTCACTAAAAGTCCAAATTTTCAACAAAGCTGTATGTGTGAGATTGATGGTTTCATTCCATTTGTTCTTTTCACAGCTGGTGTAAGCCACCAGGTTCTCAGTGTACTGCAAGATCGACTTTAAGAACCTGTTAAAAAAAAAAAAAAAGAAATTAATTTCTTTATCCATTCTGTGATAAAATACAGTAATGATTTCAATGTCTTCTCTTCATTCTTGGAATTATTCCTAAATGCTGATTAGTTTTTGTCTGAGGATTCAAGAAAAATAAATACATATAAAACTAAAATAAGAGAAAACAAATGAGAGGAAAGACAAAAACACTGGAATGTGAATGTCACTGTGCGCTTGGACGGGCTCCCCACATCTTACAAAGCTCAAGCACCTTTTCACATATACTCTTTCAAATCCAGAAGTTATGTTTCTGAGTGGTAGAACGTAATTCCAGAAAGGATCTTAGAGGCCGCCTGCTGGAACCGACACATGATACACATAAACATACAATGCACAGTCGTCCCCCAGGGTAACAAAATCCGCACGAGCTCGAGTCCCAGCTGGCCCTGAGCATCTCAGTTATGAAAAGTCGGCCCTCTGTACATGCAGGTTTTGCAACGAGTGGTTTTATTTTTCCTTGCTGTGTTTTGCAATCTGCAAACACTATATTTTCGATCCCTGTTTGGATGGGACACACTGATACAGTGGGCAGACTGCATTTATTGAAAAAATCCTCATATGAGTGATCCAGAGAGTCCAAACCCGCGTTAATACAATGAAAGTCTACAGATCCTTCATTTAGGGAAATGGTTCTCAACTGGGGTGATTGGTTCCCCAGGGGACATGGCAATGTCTGAGCCATTTTTGATTGTCACTGGGGGGAGGGGCCAGGGCGCTGCTACACGTCCTACGATGAGCAGCGCAGCCCCCACTGGCCCCAAATGCAGCAGCGGCTGAGACACCCTGACCCAGAGTCACCAGTGGCAAACACCTGCACGTCTGCTACCCACACGCCCGGAGGAATTCTGCGCTACTTCCCATAAAACGCCACAGGCACATTTTCATGTTCATTTTAAACACGCACTGAGGTGCCCACCACCTGCAAAGCACTAGCTTAAAGCCAGCAAGACAATCGCAAACTTCCTGGGCAACGAGACAGAGGCGGACGCCGCGGCTGCACCCGAGCCCAGACTGCAGCTCGGGCAGCCCTTTTCCCAGAGGTCTCCTCAGCTTTGGGAGACGTGGCGTGGGTCACACGGTGTCTTCCTACTTTCAGATCCCTAGATCTGGATGGTCCTAAAAGGCGGACTTGCGAATTTGAAGCCGTCAGTTACACACAACACGTCTGGTCATGTGCCATTTGGACAGAGAAGAGCCACCCTGGGGGCCGGACCCCAGACCCTCTGCTGGGACAGCCGAGGCCCCACCGAGGGGACAGATGGCGCCTGGAGCTCCTCCCGCGACGCTCTTCCTGGAGTCCTCACCTAGGTGCTCCAAGACACGCCTGCACGCTGACAGACTTAACAGCACCAGACGCCACAGAGAAGAACAGCTGCGGCCCCTTAGAGTCTGTGGGAGTCGATAAAAATCACCAGACAAGGCCAGCGGGGGTGCAGTTACTTACAACGACCAGCAGTTCGTTTCTGATGTAGGACACACTTACCTCAGGTACTGCCGACACTCGCAGGCAGATTTTCCACAAACGGCATGAACACTGACCAATTCCAGCGCAACGAGCAACAGAATCAGGTAAAGTGCAGGAGACAGAAGCCTGACACTGAAAATGGGTAAAATGAGATCAGAGTCAACAAACAAGTATCATCACCACTTCCCTAAAGAAAAGCCCTTTCACGTAGCCAATGCCATTTTCAAGCACCCCAGTCACCGGGGGCCTCAACCCCAGGCCCTCAGTGCAGCCACGCCCTGCACCGTCTCCCTCTGCTCTAGGGCACCAGGTGTGCTCAGCCACCTCCGGACAGCAGCACCTCCCCGGACGCCCGGCTCTGCCCTCTGCCCCGCCCCGGCACAGCACGGCCTGTCCCAGGAGGCCCCGCCCCAGCACAGCACGGCCCCGCCCCAAGAGGCCCCGCCCCAGCATGGCCCCGCCCCAGCATGGCCCAGCCCCAGCATGGCCCCGCCCTAGCACCGCAAGGCCACCGCCCCCCCTAGCACCTCTCCCTCAGTCCCAGGCTGACGTTAAGTCACACGAGACAAAAGCAAACAGTGTGGTACGAAAATGTGCTCAATGTCACTGGACTCAAAGAAATCCCAACTAAAGTAGGATATTTTTCCTATGAAACCAGTTGAGACGTTTAAAAATACTCCATTTTGGGAGGGAGGCGAGGGAGCAACACTGGCAAGGGTGTGAACTGAGCATCACCCCCCTGGAAAACATGCAGCAATACTGAGTACAAGTTTCAGAAACATAAACGCCACTCAACCCAAAAATTCTAGGAATTGTTCCAAGATGGTCATTTCTTAAGGGTGTGGCCCATTCTAAAACATACACTCTAAGTGAAGAAGCCACAATGCTGTGTGCCCAAGTTCACCCACTGCTTCATTTT